CTTCTTCCTTTCTCCCCTCCCTTCCCCTCCCCTCCCCTCCCCTCCCCTCCCCCTCCCTTCCCTCCCCTTCCCTTCCCTTCCCTTCCCTTCCCTTCCCTTCCCTTCTTTCTCTCTCTCTCTCTCCTCTTTTTCCTATAGTACTTTTATAGAATGTGGAGTATAAAGTGAAAAACTGAAACTTTGCCAGCAACTTCCTAAGGACCCTTAGTGGAGTGATAAAGGCCATTGAATTAAAAAGATTCCACAAAAGAGACTTTTTGGGGAGAACAAAAGAGATATTCCATTTACTCAGACCTCTCGCCACAGGGTCATTTCCCCGAATGCTAGAGGTGGCACTGTTGTGTCCTCCCCCAAACTAGATGATTGTCACAGAAACACGTAAAAACTTGTGCATTTCAAATGAAAGGGGCTGGATGGTCCTCTATCGGAGATGCTACAATGGCTCCTGCACTGAGCAGGAGGTTACACTTACAGAGGTTGCACTCTGTAAGAATTGGGAGCATACTCCGTGACCCAAGAGCTTCTCCCCAGAAAAAAAGCAGATTCCCTCCTGGTTTCTTGGGAACTGAATGACCCGAGAGCGGAAGGCAGTCTTCTGCACCCTGCCAACGCCCCAGGAGCGTGGTTTCTCAGCATAACTAGGGCTGAAGTGAGAGCACGGTGTGTGGCCCTTGTGAAATCTCCCCTCTGACAACACAGGGCGTGTTGCTTTGTCCCAGAGAGTCTTCAGAACTGGATTTTCTTCCACCACAATCACCCAGCATGACTTCCCTGAAACTGATCCACTTGCCAAACCAAACAGCAAGAAGAGAAGGCGCAACCCAGGCTCTTGATCCAGGCTCTGGGGATCACACCAGCAAAAGAGTCCCGGGGCAGTGCTGAACTGGGGCGAAGAGCAAAGATGCTTTCATTCCCAAAAGGGCACGGAGGAGCCCTGCTGTCTTATTTGAATTCTGAATTTTTTGGCTTGTTTTCCATCACCTTCTCCTGGCCTGGACAGCTCTGTTGAACTTTATTCACTTACAAATATATTTACCAGGTTTCCTTTTTCCTGATGCTATATGTTCATCAGGTGGTCAAGGCTGAGAAGCTATCAATAAAGTTTGAGTGCTGCTTTTGCCCAGTAGGAATTTTTCTTGCTCGACCCTTTCAAATAGCAGAATTTCCCCCTTCCCCACTTCCATCCCATTTGGGTAAAAAGGATTTGTCCTGTGCTATGGAATGGCAGGGTCTGGCACAGGGAGCGGGTGATGAAAGTCAAGATGATGATGATGTTGACAATGATTTATTGCAGTTAACATAGCCATGACTGTGCAGTTGGAGCCCCATCTTTGATCACACATTTGTAGCTGCTGTCTTGACTTTTTTGCCTCCCTTGCAGACATCCCTTTGGGAAATGAAATTACTAAGATGTCCAAGGGCTCCAAAACAGATTTCCTACATAATGACCAGGTTTGCCCAACCAGGTGATGGAAAAACAAGAAGCTTGGCTAGTTGTTTCATGCCTTGTGGGTTGGGGAAGCACAACTTGTTTGATTAGCTTGTGTGAACCCAGAAAATGAGTTAAGCATGTTGTGTGAACACAGTCAATATCACTGTGACCAAAAAAAAAAATGCAATTTCAGATACTTTCCAGCTGTCTGATGCAAAGGCAAATAGTGGGAAAAACATTGACTGAGATTTAAGCATGACTTCTCAGCTCCTCTGGACTAAAATAAAATAAAGTTGTACTTATTAAATAAAAAACTTGAAAAAGGTGGCTTCTTTCCTGGTTGCTGTAATCCCAGTTTGCTAACCTTGGCAACTTCCAGATGTTTATCTCCCAGAATTCCCCACCCTGCATGGCCATTACTGAGAATTCTGAGAGTTGGTCCACCCATCTGGAAGTTCTCAGGGCTGGGAAGCACATCTGCGATAATCCAAGATTTAGCAGGACACATGAATGTCTTTGCCCCCAGATTCAACTATTTCCAACTTCAGAGAACAACACACATCTGCCCCCTCAAGCTCCTTTTCTTTCCTTAACAGAGATGTTGGTGCAGGGAGGCATAAAATGTTTCGCCAAACTGTAATTCATCTAAATTCATCAGCCACGGTTTACCTTTCAGCCATTTGAAAACATACTTTACAGGGGGGTTATGAAACATGGTTGGTTCTTAACCATAGCTTGCTGTGTCTGAATTCAGAATCCCAGTTTATTTACAGTTCGCTTAGGCCCCTCCTAGCCTCTGTTCTTACATCACGCTCAGTTGCGGCTTAACTGCAAAGACTACATCCAACCTAAACGTCTTCTCTCACCTTCCAGATCGAAAGCTGGAACAAGCACGACCAGAAGCTGTTTGATGCCGTTGAGAAGGGGGATGTGACCCGAACGTCCCTTCTTGCTTCGAGGAAAACAGCGCAGCCCAGCAAGCTCAATGCCCTGGGCCAATCCGCGTACGTCCGTTTCTGCCCTCGGCCCTTGGGAGGGGGGTTAGGCCTCCAGAGCTGTGCCAGGCTGAAGGGCACCTGGCTGCGGAAACTGGCATATTCTGGGCCGTGGCTCAGCTAGAATGGGCTGAATGGTGGTTCTGTGCGCTGCGGGAACCCAGCTCTTGGCTCAGCAGTTTGTCTGAAAAGAGCATCCTGGGAAGAAAGAATATGGCTGAATTGTTTGGGCTTAGCAGGTGGCAGCAGTTGTTAGCCTGGGTTTAGGGGGAGCCACGTTGTGTGACTCCACCCTAAGAATGCCAGCTTTTTAGAGGGCCTTTGTGGCTATTAAACATCCTTTGGTCTGCCATTGCATTCTTAAGCAATGTTGTCATACAATTACATTTTTAACTGATTACTGTACTTTTGAGTTGTCATTGTAAGCCCCAGTGGGAATTTATTTCAAGAGCAGGGTGTAAACTCCTGTCCCTGCAAAACTTGGTCTGCAAAATTATGTGGCTTAGATTAAAACATTTTCTAAGAATTCTTCAGGAGCCCGTTCTGGGAAATTCAGTGGATGCTGGAAGTGGGAGCGTTGCAAAATACCGCTTTCCATTCCTTATTCATTGTATTAATTTATTAATTATTAATTATTAACTTTCATCCAAAGATTCTCGAAAACAATCCGGAGAGACCAGGAAGGGACCAAGGAAGGGGCGGGTGGACACCACCCTTTGTGCTTCTGAAATTTGCTGGGGGAGAGGGCGAATTCCTAAGCTTTGCTGGTGGGAAATTCTGCTTTTCTCCCTTTTCTTGAAGGTTCCACCTGGCGGCTTCCAAGGGGCTCACGGAATGCCTCACCATCCTGCTCACACACGGGGCCGAGGTGAATGATCAGAACGAGGACGGTGGGTACGATCCCAAAGACCCCTCCCATGTTCCCAAGGACATTTGCAGAGAGGGGTCGGTTAGGTCTTGCAGAGAGGGGTCATTTCCAGGTTTTCAGTCCTCTCTTCAATGGACAGGCAGTGGTAAAAGAGGGTCAGGAGAAGGAAGTCCACAGAGACCCCCCTTCCCTCCCTCAGCTCCTGCCTCAAGCCATTGGCTGGACTGCTCTGATGGGCAAACCTTTCACTGACAGCCAGGGGTCAGTTGGCTGACAATGTCTGGGGCTGGGTAGCCTGGACACTGTAGACGAGGCTGACGTTGTGGGGTCCTTGATGGCTTAGTGTGTGGTGGGAACTCAGCCACTGTCCTATGCTATTGGATCATTTGGGTAGATATTGTGTTTTGTTAACCCAGGGTTATAGTTAAACATAGTTTGCAAATGCCCCCAGAGTATCCTGAAAAGCAAAAGACCTGATGCATGGGCAAGGGGGCCAAAAAAGTGAAGATGGTGGCCACGAGGGCCCCCTCAAAGCCCCGCCCCTTTTGCATGCATAGCACATGCCGAGGGCCGGGGCTTCGGCGGTGCAGTCACAGCCACCCGTTTGACTTCTTGCTCCCCCCCAAATATGCCTCTGGCGTGGGGAAGATGCTCAGGGAAGATGGCGGGCTGGTGATGGGAAGCAGGGTCCCAGCACAAGCAAGCTTGCAACAGTCAGTTAATGAGGGGGAAGTCTGGGGGAAAGAGAAGACAGTGCGCTAAATCAGTTTTCCCGGTGGTGGAACAAATCATATTTATTTAGTTTATGCATAAACTGAACCATAAATGATAGCTTACCAACCCCAGGTTCTGGGCTCATATAGTCCTCTAACCAAACAGCCCTTCCCCACGTCGGGCAACGTGTGAGTTTAGCCAAGCAGCTTCTGACCCGCTGAATGGGAGCGCTGCTGCCCACATGGGGGGCCTCTGTGGCCCTTGGCAAGTCTCCTTTCTTTCTGCACCCTCAGAATGTCAGCAGAAAATGGACTTTTCTGGAATTGAAGAGGGACCCACTAAATGGGTGTCCTGCCGCATTGTGACCCACCGGATTGTGCCACACGCCAGCAATTTGATGCTGGTGGGTTTTAGTCCTTGGACACTATTGAAGACCCTCAAGGAGTGTCCACTGGGTGTGGAGGAAAAAGTGGAAATGGCGACCATGAAGGTGCCATCAAAGCTCTGCCATTTTTCATGTGTAGGGTTGGGTTGTGGCTGCCATCTTGACTTTTTTTGAGCACACCCTGCAGAGACTCCATTATGCTTCCAAACCCAGCGAGCCTCTGGACAGATTCCTATGCTTCATTTAGACTACTGTTTCTCAACCTTGGCGACTTTAAGAGGTGTGGAATTCTGGGAGTTGAAGTCCAGACCTCTTAAAGTTGCCAGGTTTGAGAAACACCAGTTGAGGTGCTCTCCTTCTTCTGTCTTTGCAGGCAGCACAGCTCTCCACCTGGCCACGATTGCTTGCCAGCCGCAGTGCGTGAAGGTCCTCCTGCAGGTAAAACACGTCGTCTTCTCCATCGGGGCCAGTGTGGCACCAGTTCACAGTGGCCAAAAGAAAGGGGCACCTCTGAGCACGTGCAGTGATGTTTCAGCTTGGGGGGCTTTAGAGGCCAGAAGGTTGGCCCTCCTTGTGAATTGTGGCTGCTCCACGTCCCCCCCCCGCTTCTGCGACGGTAGCCTGACTCCTGGGTCCAACGGTGCCCTGAAAGTTGGCTCCGTATACCAGGCAACCCTGGACATTTCCACAGGAGTAGCACAACATTTATTCTGGGAGGACCAGTTCAGTTAACCCTCAGGCTTTTTCCTACAGTCCAAACTAGCCAACCACCTTTTCTCCTAGCAACTCCATTTCTGGTTCAATTCAGCAGGCAAATCCAGAAAATTGAACAGAATAAACTATGGTTTGGTTAACCATGAATGAGCTTGTTGTGCAATCACGCTTGGGGTGCAATCATGACTTGGGGTCTGTATGTGTCTCTGTATGAGTCTGTGTGTGCATCTATGTGTATTTATACAGAGGCCTATATACTTGAGTAATGTAAAGAAATACAGACAGTTTATTTATTTATCTGAATGTGTTAGTTTTATTAGTTTTGGGGGTGTCCAGAGGACACACATAAAAAAGAGGCAGAACTTGGATCGGACCATTGTGGGTGCCTTCTTGATTTTTTTGACCATACCCTGCGGACCCCTCTGGACAGTTTAGATGAGTATAAAGTAATTAGTGCGACTGAGAAGTTAATTAGGTCTCTTGCTGTGAAAACTCATATTCTTGATTCAAGACATAGCTGGAAAATAGTGATGTCTATCTTGTGGGAATTAATAAATAAAGCTTAAAAGTATGATTATTACTTTTAATTATACTAAATTCTACTAACTGCTGAATAGAGAGTAAGACAGGCAGACCTGGAAGGGCGAGACACATCTAATGCAGCAAATCCGGCCTTCAGGGCTAACGAACTCCTCACCGGCGTGGCTTTGCTGGCGAGTCTTCCTTGGATGCATGGAGCATGGACCTGAGAGAGCACCACTGCGCCTGAGATGAGGAGGGGAGGGGACGAGGAAAGGCAGAGAAGAGGAGGCCAGCAAGGGACATTAGCGCTCCCTTAGGGATGGAGGCCATTAGCAAAGCAGTGAGGGTTGTGAGAGGAACGCTCTTGCCCTGAGGAGCTGGCCAACACTGCCAGGCTGTTATTCTCACGACATGCTCCAGCCGGTCCATGAAAGCCCCAGCAGCTGCATTCACACAGTAGGCTAATCTGAGCTATTTTAAACGTGACTAATTTGTTTCCAGCAGCTGAGCCTGCTTTCTGAGGTTAAGGGTGGAGGGGTCTTGTGAATCCAGCCATTCTTCGTCCCGAGAAAGAGGTGGAACTCCCCCCAGGAAGCTGAGAAAGGGCCGGCTTTTCTGCCCGCTGAGGCTCGGCAGGGCCACGTATCCCTCAGACCAGGCGAGGGCGTCCCCAGGGTGGGCCAGCTTCCCGGCTGCCCAGAATTTGGGCTTGGCTCCCAGCATCCTCAGCCTGTCCTGCCGTGCAGGAAGGGAATGATGGGCATTGCAGTCCCAAAGGTTTGGATGATGTTTCATGGATTGGGGAAATGTGTGAATGGACCAAGACAGATTCCTTCTATGGTGTCGATTCCAAGAAACGCTCCACGCTCCTCCCCTTGTTTCTTCTTTCAATTTAATTCTTAACATAGCTTGCAATGTTATGCCCACAGATTACTGGCATGGCTGGGTTTGCCCAACATCCTTAACTTGGTTAAGGAATTAACTCAGTTTCTGGGATTACCCAAAATGTTGGGCCATACATTTCCTTATATATTTATTTCTTAGGTTTATATCCTGCCTTTCATATAGAACCTAAGGCAGTGTACATAGTACTCCCTCCTCCCATTTTTCTCACAACAGCCACCCTGTAAGGTCGGCCAAGGTCAGGCAGAACAGATGGCCCAAAGTCCTCCAGGAAGCTAAGGACGGACCTGGACCTGGGTCACCTCAGTATCAGCCCAACATTGCCACACGGGCTCTTAATTTAACCAAATGGACTTGCTCTGCATGAGACATTAGGGCACAAAAGAACTAACCAAAGTTAATATTAACCAAGGTTAGCATCTCGTCCAAATGCAACTTTCACATATCATGTTGTATGTGAATCCTGCCTATCTGTGGAATTAGGATGACAAACAGCATCCTTGATGCAATGTAGCTGCAAGAGAATTGGGTGTGCATAGAAAAAATCTGGAACACTTTATAGGATTGAGAGAATGCATGAATAATGGCAGAACTAAGAGACAATTCCCAACTGGAAAAGGAGATAGATTAATTTGGGGGGGGGCAGTGATTAATTTGAATCAAGCATTTCCCAACTTTGTGGGATTATTTTAATTCTAGGGAACGTTATAGTCTTAGCATGTATTTGATATTATACTGCTGTTAATATTTTGTTAAAAGCTATCAGTATGGATTCAGGTCACAGGGAGTTAGAAATATATTACAATAAGTATTTCACTTCTTCCTTGCAGCATGGAGCAAATGAGGATTGTGTTGATGGGGAGAATCGTACGCCTCTGCACTGGGCCGGTGAGTCCTAAAAAATGACCGGCTTTTTAAAAACTTTTTGGGCACAAAATAGTTTCAACTCAGCTCTGACATTTTGCAAGCCTATGTTGCCCGACCTTGGTGCCCCTGCTGGAGTTTGAATCACTTCTGTGTTTTGCCAACAAAACTGTATGGATGTATTCATGAAGTCAGCAGGATTCCAGCTCAAAACTGAACACAAATTTTACCCTTCCTTACATTAGTCCTTTCCAAATGGTTTCAGAGGTCACCTTCCAGAATTCCCAAGCCAAGTCAGTGACTTTCTTCCATGCGGGAGGCACCAACAGGATATATTTCTCCCAAGTGCAACAGCTCCTTCACAGGAACAGCACAACCATGGAAGAGGAGTGGCTGTTGCTGCTTTTTAAATAGCCCATTGATGATCTGCAGCTCTGCACATGTTAGCAGAATTTTAACATGAACAATAAGTCACTTGAATCCAGTTGAGCTCCTGGTGACGTCTTAGATCGGTCGTGTAGGACAGAAGCAGTTTGTCGTTATCTTCTCTGGGGTTGTTATTTTAATTCCCAGTTGAACCTCCAGCTTTGGGATTTCCAGGGATTCTCCCATCCCATTCAAGCAGTAACCAGATCTGATCCTTCTTTGCTTCCCAGGCCATCCAGGCTCTGCCACCTGATGGTCTACATTAGGCTGTAGAGTTTGAATCATCTCCCCTGAGAATGCTGGTTCTCTAGTCAATTTCACAACTGGATTTTATCAGGGAGCACAATCTAGGCAGTTTCACAATGCCAAGTTGTGGGGGCGGGGGACAACTCCAGGGCTATATTTTCCCACTTCTGTGCAAGTAGCAAGCCCCTTTCCCCCAGCCGTGACCCTCAAGTGAAACTAGTACGTATCTCATTTTGGAAATACATTGGCAGTACGCTGAAACTCTGATTGGCCCATAAGACCTGCTATAAAAGCAGTCAAGAAAAATGATGGATTTTTGAAAATAACATCAGGACAGGCTGGAACAAGTCCTCGTGTGTTTCAAGGGTGAGGCAATCATCCCACTGATGTGATGGGATCCCTGCATAGAACCATCTCACGCTGAGAGAGGCTGATCAGCTCTTCCGAATTCACAACTTCCATAGCAAAGTGTAACAGTTTACTGGCACCGAAACTCTCCACAAGTTACCTTTTCAGACAGGTGAGAGTCAGTTGCTTGGATCTAAGGTTCTGCAGGCATGATGACAAAGACCTTGTGCAGAATTTGCAAAGAGAGCAGAAGATACTGATGCAGCCTTGAGCGTCCATCACAAATCCTCTTAACTGCCTTGCTTGGTTTTAAGTAAGTGCAGATGTTAGGTTACATCTTTTGGGTCTTTAATCACCTGTCAGCAGAACTTGAATGAGAATACTCGCAGCAGAACTATTTACAGTTTAGTTAGCTATCATTTTTCATGTATTTGTGCATTTTTTCTACACCTTCAAACTCATGGACTCTAGCCAGTTTTTTTAACACTACCCATGGTTTCCCACATTGTACTAAGCCATGGTTTATTTAACTACAGTTTCTTCTAAAACCTGTAGTGGCTTGGTTCACAAACCACAGTGGCTGAGCTGACAAATCACACTAACCAAGCAAACCATATTACGACTCAGCACAGGATCATTCCACTTCTTTCTAGATTCCTATTGGCATATCTGGGGAGACACAGATATTAAACAAGGGTGAGAAAGCAAAGCCTGGACAAATTCTGAATTTGATTTACATTTAATTACAAATTACATACAATTAAATTAATTAAACCCAGTAGATAAATTATTCCTCGGGTATTTAATTGTTCCCCTTCTGGCCATATTAAAAATTACAATTTGGTAGCAGAAAGTTTTGTGCCAAGCCTGTGCCTCTATTCTGACTTCTCCTTATGAACTAATTGCACTGGGAGGGCGGGGTGAGAAGAAAGATGGAAAAAGCAGAGGTAAACCTGGAAGAGTTAGAAAGAGAAGACCAGTTCGATAGCGTCCATCCTATGTAAAATTCCATAAATGAAGAAAGACAGTTGAAGCATCTTGAAGTTTGAGGCTGAAATTAAAGAGGATAATAATTATCCTAGTGGGATAAGTCATACAGGTCTCACAGAGACTTACTTTTGAGTAAGAGTGTGTTTGATAATGATACATCGCTCCTTTATTTTTTAAAAAACTAAGTTTATTATGTTCAGCAGATATTAGTAAAATTTGCTACATTAATTTAGGCTGGTAATCTGGTCAAGAAAAGAGCATTTCCTGTTTTGGGCCCATTGTAGAAAGCCTATTTTTTAAACACTGGCTTCCCCTTTTCAATCCCACACAACAGCCTTTTCTGGCTGCGCCTCCAGTGTGCTACTCCTGTGTGACCAAGAAGCTTTCCTGGATGTCACGGATAACGTAAGTTATTGGCTTTTCATGATTAACGGAGGGGACTTTTTTTATGAGCCAGGATTTTACTACAGAGGAGCTGAAGGAAAGTCCCACTGGAAAATGGGAAAACTTCCTTCAGATCAGGGAAGGCGGTTTCAGATCATAACTGTAGTTATTTATGTGTAAATCTGCCCATTTCAGTTTATCTTTCTTGCTCATTTTTGCTAACATACAAAAGTAAGTCACAGTATGTTCTCCTCAAGTTTCTCATCTTTGTTGAGAAATATATAAGTATATCTTTTTACCCAACAGTAAAAATACCCAACAGCTGTTGGGTAAAAATATATACTTATATTCATGTATGAGAAGTTCTTATATATTTAACTGCAGTCTGAACTTTAAAAACAAAGCTGCCAAACTTGAGAAAAACTTATCAACTGAAATCATCCATATGTCATCTTGTTGTCCTTTTTCTGCTACTGTTTTTCTTTGTGTAATTAAATAAAGGCATTTAAAAAAAATGTTTAGATTAAAATTTAAAGGCATTTTGGTGCACAATTTTTCACAGGTAGGTATTTTGTTTGGAATTGTCCATATCCATTATTTTTACATATACTTTTTCCCTATGAGAATGCAATTTTATACCTTATTTATAGGAATATATACATTTTTGTGCAAAGTATTCTGGTGTGGGTGTGTATATGTATCTTTCAAGTGAGATGGGTGGCCATATAAATATGATAAATAAAATATATGTATATGTATATGTATATGTATATGTATATGTATATGTATATGTATAT